TGAGAAGTCACAGCTGCGATGGCTTGGGCATGTGTTGCGAATGCCTCCAGAAAGGAAGGCTAAGCAACCACTTCTTGCCGAGTCGACTGGCAAAAGACCCATGGGGTGGCCATGATTAACCTGGTGCACGAGTATCGAAGTATACTTCTCTTGACTCCGATTGTCTTCTGCAGAAACTGAAACTGTAGCAGAGAGTCGTAAAAGTTGGAAGCAGTGTCTAGCGCGTCTGCTCCGCGACTCGAAAGGAGAAGCGGTCACAAAAACTGAGTTGAATATGAGAGGAAAATTCTGTGCCTTACTACCTCAGATATGATATATCTAAGAAGTTCATGGAGTTATTTGTTTACAGCCATAATCCGTCAAACGTCGTTACATATCGTCCGCGTTTTTTGCCACGGATTTTCGTTTTTTACCATTCGTTCATGAGGTAGGCGAAAGAAGGAAACTGTCGCGTTGCTTCATATTAGAAAGTTACAAATTAATTCTGACAGTGGATATCAAAACTTCCTACTTATATCTCTTTTGAAATGTAATTGTTCTAAGTTAGAATGCTCAAAAGCCATGAGGAACTCTGTCGCAAACAGTCCACAATTTAGTGAGTATCCTTTAGTGTTACGAGGGCAAGTGTTATAGCGTGAATGATATGTTGCCCATGTTGTTTCGCGAATTTCATCGCCATGACGTGTGAAAGCCAGGGTCCTTTTGCCAGTGCTTAATCTAAGCGTGAAAGAATTGCTTTAAGCCGTATTTCAAAAAGCTTAACTGATTAATGGAGCAGTTTGAATCACATGGACGTCTTAGTCAGCGCCAAATGTCACCTGCTTTAGTGATCCGTCTGGATCAAATGATTCAAGTTATTCTGACCTATGAGAAAAACGTTATTTTGCCTCAAAGTTAGTAGCAATTGTTTCCGAGCTTTATTTCACGAACATTTGAGCCTTTTGACGAGGAATAGTCTGTGAACGGAGCCGAAACGACCAATAAACGATGGGCGACTAATCAGTATCTTTTCTACGCCGTGCCTTTTGTCACGTGAACAAAATCTGGGCAGCAGTTCTTTCTTACAGTACCTGTCATGGCTGTTCGTCGGCGGCCATTGAAAGATTCTGAAAGCATGTGAAAGCGGAAGCTGCGTGTCTTGGATAAACCGTGGATTACTAGACAACGGAAATTACGTCGACGCGGTCGGTGATAGTTTCTGAAACAGTTAAGAAGTGGTTACTCATCTTCACGCGGCAATAGTGAACTGACAGCTGGTAAACGGAAACTGCCTTTCGATGAGTTCATGCTCGCCAGTGGTTGTCTGACGGTGTTTCGACAAACTGCACCAGTCATTAGGTGGCATAACGGTGGCCAATGTTGCTCCTCCCTCTTCTGCTCCTCTTCTGCTCCTCTTCCGCTCCTCTTCACCTCTGAGCACGTCTGTTTTTCTGGAGGACAATGACAGTTGATCTCTGCCCTGTGATTTTCGAATTGTTCACCATAACGGGTCGAAGCAGCTGTCTTGTGAATAGCTGCACTAAGTCGATGTCGCGTCACGTAAGGACAATTTGACATCTCCAATCGTAAAAGACACCTCCAAAATCAATTAATTGCCACTTGTGAAAGGCGCCGTTGGCTGATTGTCTTCGACAACGTGGCCGGCGGCCGACAGTGGTCGCTTCAGTCGTCCACGCGTGCTGGTGATCCTCTCCTCCGTCTTCATACCTCCGTACCGTCGCGCCTCCGCCACCACCGCCGTCTCCATGCACTCCAGCACACCGTCGGCCTCCTCGCGGTACATGTACGAAAACGCTGCCAACTGGAACCGCTGCATCAGGAAGTGCATCGACAGTGACGACGATATCCTCAACTGTTCAAGCTGCTTCAAACTAGTTTGGAATGACCTGAAAAAGCTGCTCGGACTTCGTACGGCAGGTGAGAGGCGGCGTTCATTTGCCACATTCTTCTTCAGCGTGGCCGCAACAGACGGACGCTTCTACGGTCATGGGGGGGGCGGGGTACCAAAAGACTGTGCCCAAAGACGCACATCGACAGCTGTAGCATCGTTCGTTGTAACCAACATAAAACTTCAGCTAACAAAACGGAGAAAACATGCACTGTGCCATCGACACAGACCATTGGCCAACCGCGACGTGCGTCATCCGTCCCAATTGCTCACTGCCCTAACGGCAGGGTTCCTGCTCAGCCAACGGGCATATTTAGACGTTGCGTTTGAAGTATCGCATAAGCCTAGATTAAAGCAATTTCGTTTTACTATTTATTGTTTTAATCATGGAAGGGGAGGCTCTAATGTGACGTGATTCCGCTTGGGTAGCCTCCGATCACAAATTAGCGTTCCTGCTTGCTATTAAATTAATTTTTTGTGCAACCTTCGTCACGAGACTCAGTCGCACGCATACTATTTCCTGACACTTCATGATTAATGCTAAGCATGGTAGGACAGGCATTAAGCATTGCTTTAGACCTGCACTTGGATGACCAAGGCTTCTCTGTATCTTTCGTTGTTCCATGCTCTTTTCCTAGCGAGAAAGACCATATGCGAGTAGAGACCGTGCAGGGTGTATCTACCTCATCACTTTTACTACCAATCACTATATTTTATGTTTCACTTGTTCTGCTGGCATATGTGCACTGTACAACACCTACAGATATGTCAAAAAATTATGTATAGCGAATGACTCTTCCAAAAGCTGAATGTGCTGCGTATTGCTTTGCCCAATTCTGTGGGTCAGCAGGCCAGCATGAAGTCAGGAGGAACAAGGTAACGGCAATCCTGCATTCGGAAATGAATTGTTCCGTTTATGATACAGCAACCGGTGCCTTACAGTAAATCTGTTGAAGCCTATTCGTTATTGCCTGCAACTCGAAGAGACGATGGGTTGGCAACGCGGCTCATCTGAAAGACAACAAGTAAACATCCCGAGTTACCAGCAGGGTCCCCCCTCAACAGCAGACTTCCACGCGGTCGTCTGTTCATACGCAGGGGACGACCCAATTTCGAAGCTGCTTGGTAAACGGAAGTCAAACGGAACAGCACCGAAAATAAGATGAATAGAAGAAATTAACAGCAAGGTAACTAGGAATAGTATAAAAACGACAGTATGCCTGAAAATAAAATATTTACTTAATGCGAAGTTTTCCGAAAAGTAGAACATCGATGACAATAATAAGAAAGACAGACAATACAGTAAACAGTCGCCCATGAAACTGCTAGGCCTACTGATTCCGTGGCTAGTTACACCAGTTGGTCACCTACTCTCTGCGCTCATTGTATAAATTGTGGTGAAGAGTTCAAGAGCAAACTCAAATGTTTGAACCCTCATTTTATTCCTGTTCCAAAATGGCTAAATTTCATGTTAAAAGCGACAGTTTTGGTTAGCATAGTTTCCATTGCGCCAAAACTTTTGGAAGACAGCAGCGCAGCTGGGGGAACGGAAATTAACTACTCGGTTTTCCTGTTTCACAAAATGTGAAGGTTCTTACGGTGATGCCTTCAAACATTTGCTTTGAATAAGACGACAGTTTCTATCGTGAATGCTGTGTGGTTGCTATGGGATTTACTATCAGCATTGCCATTGCAGAAATTGATTTATGATTTATGAAATAAACATGAATGTCGTTTAATCCGATGTGCTAGGTTTCTACCCTCTTGACGTGGCGCTTCCTTTCTATTTCAGATATTGACGACTTGTTGCCTGTGAAAGCAGAACAACCCTCTTCTGACTTTCTTAATTTTCTAAAATTCTTTAATGATAAGAATGGGTAGAGTTTACAGCGGAAGAACTACAAAATAAAGTCATTTGTTTTCTGGAAATCAAAATAAAAAAGTTTCGGTGAATAATTCTCCGTCTCTGTCCTTTACATTTTGATCAATGAACGTAACTACAATCGCTTCATGCGTCCAAAATTTGCAGTTCCATACTCATACCTTATTAATATTGTCATCCATCAGCATCTCATTGCTTTGTCCAATGATATGTAGTGCTGAAATCTGAAATCTGCAATGCATATTTGAAAGCAATGGTTACGATCACGGCATTCTCCAACGTCATCTCTGTCATTCAAGTTAGAATCTTCACCACCCATCCCACCGAAAAGTTCCCCAGAACATCTGGGTTATGCTTTGTCAAAACATTTTAATAGCTGAAGCTTTCGGAACCCAGAAAAGTGTTCCTTATTCAGCGCGCTCTGAACAATGAACAGTGTGATGAGTGCTCAGCGTCCTCGGTGGGAAAAATAATTTTGGCCAATAAATCTAGTACCTCAAAGCTGAATATTATGAAAGGACTGTTTCGAATTGGGCATTGGAACGTTCTAATTCTGAAACGAGAAGAAAAAGTTGATGACGATGTTCGAAAAGTATTCCAGTACCAACTTCACGTTGTCGCATTTTCGGAAGCCGGGTTCCAAGGAGCAGGGGCAGGAACAAATGGATGATGCTAAGAATCGATGGACGCTGTGGAGGTTCGAGAACGGCAGAACCAGAGCCACCGGAGTCACAGTCCTCCTTCCTCCAAAAATGAAGAGTTACTTGTTCTCAGTTGCACGCGTTTCTGATCGACTGATGACCTGTCAAATGCTCGGAAAGCACGGAAGCATAGCCTCGTTGTTGCGTATGCGCCTCAGAGGTATCAAGCGGGGCGGAGGGGGGGCAAACAAGGACCAGTTCTGTGACTGTTTCCAAGTGGCTGTCAGTCGGCTGTCACAACACGACTTGACAGTTGTCTCCGACGATCTGAACCCCCAGGACGGCAGTGATCAGCAGTAGCAAGTGACCACTGATTTCGCGTAATTGACTTTTGCGTCACAAGTAGTCCCGTCGTCAGAGTTTCTTTGTGTCCACACAAGCGGATCTGCGAGACCACGTGCACATCATCGGATGTCACGTGCCAGAACCAAATCGACCACCCCTGATTGGCCAGAAGTGGCCTAGCGCCCTAGTGGACACTCGGCTCAGATGCAGTGCTTCCATCTGTCCGGACAGTCACCTGGTGGTCTCTGACCTACAGCTAAAACTGACACTGACGAGCAGACGGATGACATCAGGGCAGGGCTACGTCACTGGTATGGAATAGTAGCTGAAGTCCGTGCAAGTCAAGGCTTCGTTCCAACATGAAACGACATGGAACTTCAACTATCTCTCTGATGTCGTAAGAGACCAATGCCAGGTAGACGTTCGATGACGATTAAAAAGAATTCCGCGAACTCACTGTCAACGCAGCCAGGCAAACATCGGGCCATACATACGTACATACATACATACATACATACATACATACATACATACATACATACATACATACATAC